CAGCCGAACTGGAAGCTATCCTTCTCTCGCACCCGATCATTCTAGATGCTGCCGTGATTGGTGTCGAACAAGAAGGAACAGAAGTGCCGCGCGCATTTGTAGTTGTGGGCAAGAAAATCTCTGAGGAAGAGATCAAGTCCTTTGTAAAATCCAAAGTGGCGAGCTACAAGCAGCTAAGAGGCGGCGTCGTATTTGTGGATGCAATTCCCAAAAATGCGTCCGGGAAAATCCTACGGCGAGAGTTGAGAGATGCTTCGAAGAAGACCACAGCGAAGCTGTGATTATCAGATAGTGTTTCCATAGAATGTAATGTTTGACTTTGTGGCGCGTGTGGGCTGTACCTAAATATATACGCCGCCTCCACACATCTTGCTCCACCAGCGGCAGGAGTGGCCCCATAGGTGGCGGCTGCCAAATGAAACACATTGTGGCCCGTGCCAAACTTGAATCAGGCCAATCTAATCTCAGCTACCCCCCCGCCTCTCCACACTATTTGAACCTCAACCACTACATAACCACTACATACGCCTTTTCAGGCGATTTCCGTTATTTCTTTCATGTGTATCCAGCACAACGACATCGGAAGACCTGTCTAGGAGACTTCTGCACCCAATAATTACTTCTTCAACCTGGTAGTATATTACAATCTAGCTTTTACAGCTACGGAATTTTCCATTTTAGATCGCGTCTCATTTTCCTTCTTCCACGCCTCAATCCTTCTCTGGTGTCCCCCGTCAAACAACTCCCTCCAGCCCTTCCCAAACTTAGGAAGTCTTCTTCCAGGCTGCCCCGGCGCAGGTTCACCAGCAAGTTCCCTCACAGTCTCGAAATACTCCTCGAAATTGGGGTACAGCGCGGTGAAGGGAACGCCGTCGCCCTTGACAGCAATGCGGTCCGTTTCCCATTTCTCCTGCTCTGCAATTGACGGGAGCTCTACGCGGCCCGCAAAATATCGGGCTGCAAGCACAGCTTGCCATTCAAAGGCTTTAAATGTAAAGCCGGCAGCAATCTATTAAGTTTAACAAAAATCAGTCGTTTATTCTTTTGACTATACAGGGAGATTGGATTTTGGGGGCTACTACTCACGGCGCCAACGAATGCGAGAGTGGGATCCTGTCGCTGAAAGATATGGAGGTAGAGACCGGGCAGGCGATTATTTGTGACTGGAAAGTCAGGAAGAAAAGGCAGCGTCAATGAGTAACCCGTGCCCAATATAATATTGTCGACATTGTCAATGTGCGACCCGTCTTCCAAAATGATGGTCCTGCGACCTTGTGCGCTTTCAATCCTCTTGACAGCTGGCCGCGTCTTGATATCTGAGTGGTCGAACGCTGACTTGCCGAAGTAAGGGTGCCATTTTCCTCGCACGACGGCATTTATTGGGTGCTGAGCGACTCCGATGAGGTCACGGGCAATATCCATCCCAGAGACTGATGCGCCAATCACAACAACATTCTAAGTCGGCTTTAGTATATGCACATAAAAAAAAGCTCAGCTTATGTTTTCTTGTTCAAACATACCTTTTGTCGATATTTCTCCGCTCCTCTGTACCCCTTACTGTGCTCTACCGACCCCAGATATGCACTGGCGAATCCCTTCAAACCCTCAATATGGGGAACATGTGGAACCGTATAATGTCCACTCGCCACCACCACCGCATCAAACTCCTCCGCCCACCAGTAATCCCGCTCTGACCCCGCCTTTCTCAGCGTCAGCTTCCAACTTGCATCGACCTTCTCAACCCTCTCCACTGTCACTCCGCATTCCACAAAATCCTTGTACCCTTTTCTGTCCAGCAGTCCTTCGATATACCCCTGAACCACTGTGTGGTGGCGGAAAGGGGTGCTCGGACCATGCCGTTGGATTGACCGTGACGTCTGTTTCACGGGAATGGGCTCCTGTGAGAACTCCATCGTATGATAGTCAATATTTGTCTCGAGCAGCGGGTAGACGGATGTCTCATCGTGGCGATATTGGGTTGAGCGCGAGACATATGTTGGGAGAGAGGGAGGGATATCATGTGGTTTGTCTGCGGTGCGGCTGGCGAGCGTCTTGAAATCGGGGAGCTGAGGGGATCTGTGGGCCGGGTCTTGGACCCTGAAATAAGTAAGTTAGCATTTCTAATATATTATGCTGTCGTGGTATGGCCTTATGCAATCTATAAAGATCTATAACCAAAAAAAAAGGGCGTGCAGCGAGTCTGAGCTGCCTACGTACCAACATCCGCCGACCTTCTCCCGACGCTCAAAGACGCGAATGACTTCGAACGCCTGTTCCTGCGCTAATGCGTCCACGGCGATGGCGCCGGCAGGGCCCGCACCAATAACAGCTACCCGCTTGATGCCAGACATAATGCCTGGATTATAAGATAACGATGAATATAAAATACCAAAGGACAGGAAAATAGACAAGATTTCGATTTAAAATCGCCAAAGCCGCCAAATGCCGTTATTTTTATTTAGCAGATGGAAAACTTATAGGCCATCATTAAGGCCTCGGGGTTTGGATTTTAGTGTTAGATGTGGGGCGACACTTGGAGTTCGCAATGAAGTGGGTGTAAGGCGTGATTATGACCTGTCTAATCGCATCCAAGAACAAACCGCACAGTAGAATAGTTTGAATTTCTGTTAATTGACACATAATACATGGGGTTCATGTGGGTTGAGAGTTTATTTGTAAAGCCTATTAGTCTTCGTTGGAGCATGGAATCTGCATCCTTGTTGCCATGTGGAAGTACGTATGCAGTTATAGGATTGTGTGATCAAGATATTGAAGGTTTATGGATATCTTACCACTCCCTTTCCTTGTTTGAGTTCTTGTCTTTTTGTTGTCTCCCTGATTTAATGTATACGCCTCTTCAACCCGTGTTATTATGGTCGCCACTCTAGATTCCTCAGACTTGAAGTCTTCAGTAATCGTAGACTCCCCGAGCACTACATCAGCTTCAATTCTGGACTTGGAGAAGTCCTCAGATATTACGGCATCTTTGACCGCACCAGGTTTAATTCAGGCTGCCGGCGACAATGTAGACACAGCGGCTTCATTACATGCTCGATCGAGGTCAGATTATTTTCAAGAAATCGGAAATCTGCAAGCCTGGCTAACCTCCGTACAGAGTTGATCTCTCCGTCCTCCCACTTCTCCTTCTTGGTTTATTCGTCTTCCAGCTTGACCGTATGAATCTCGCCAGTGCGCTCACAGCAGGCCTCAAAACCGACATTAAAATTACCCAAGCCGACGTCAATCTCGGGAACCAGATGATGTTTCTAGGTATTGTGGTGCTTGAGATCCCCTCAAACATGCTCCTCCAACGTGTAAGTTACGTCCCAAGCATATCTAGGCCCGAGCCAAGACAAAGAAATATACTAACAAGTTCCAGATCGGGCCCCGAATATACATCAGTATCCAAGTTATTATCTTTGGTTTAATGGCGACTCTACAAATATTTGTGCGCGACAGGACTGGGTTTCTTATCATAAGGAGCTTCCTCGGGTTGGCCGAAGCCGGATACATACCAGGTGCCATATACACCCTCTCTACCTGGTACCGACATAAGGAATTGGAAATGCGAGTAGCAATATTTTTCTTTGGAATGTTCGGAGGGAATGCATTGAGCCCCCTGCTGGCCTCTGGTATTTTGAAGCTCGGAGGTACACATGGACGACCAGGCTGGCAGTGGATTTTTCTCCGTGCGTTTGTATTCTCCCCAGGGACCAGTGTAGCCTCGTCAACACATTGTACTGACTCCGAATACAGTTGAGGGTATCTTCACCATTGCCGTTGGTCTGCTCATCGGATTCCTTCTCCCCGGTTCACCCGAACGCCCTCGTCCTCTCTTTTTCGAGGGCCTTGTGCGCATCTCCGAGTCCGACGGCGCACTGCTCCAACAACGTATCGCAGCCGATCTTCCAAACAAGTCTTACGAATCCCAGCATATACGTATCACTCCGGCTAAAGTCTGGAAAACACTGTCTCACTGGCGCCGCTGGCCACATCTTGTGTCCACGAGTCTTGTATTCTCGACATGGAGCTCGCTAACAACTTACACGCCAACAATTATCATGTATGCCAGCTCTCATTCATCTATTTAGTTGAAGAATCACCATAATTTGCTGACTTATTCCAGGTCTCTGGGTTTTGACCGTACAAGTGCCAACGCACTTGCCTGCATTGGACCCCTCATCGCCCTTGGAATCGTTTTCCTCTTCGCACGTCTGAGCGATTACACGAACCGACGCGGCCTCATGGTCATGATTGCGATAAGCTGCTATATCACCACTTTAATCATAGCTCGCGCGACGCAGTCACACGTGGGAAAATGGAGCTGTTGGGGACTGTGGACAGCCGTAAACGCGTTTTCAGTCGGCTACCACCCGGTGCAGAATACGTGGTTGCAGCTGAACTGCCACGATCCGGCAGAGAGGAGTATCAGTATTGCGTAAGTTCCAAATCCTTTGTATATTATGGGTGGCAGTTGGTAGAGATCTGCAGCGCGAACCGAAGGCTGATTGGATTTTATAGGCTATGGGTGATATCGGCCATCTCAGGCCTGATGTATGGGACGCAGTACTTCCAGGAAAAGGATCTGCCCCTATACTCGCGTGGATTGGAGATTATGATTGGTGTCTCAGTAGCTGGACTGGTGCTAGCCGGTGTTCAGGTTTGGATTTATACGGCATATAATAGAAAGACAAAGGAGTTAAAAGAGCACGGTGTGGTTGTTGAAGGGAATAAAGGCAGAACTTAACATATTACAGTAATGAAGTGCTATAAGACGTTATCACTTGTGAAGTTTTGATAGCATTCAATACTGTTCAATTCACCAGCTTTGTACAGAAAGAATTGGGTAACTTATCAATTTATCATCAAGAGATTTCTATATACTTCCCATGAAACAAAAACAAAACAAAAGATGTACAATTTGAAATAATTCCAAAAAAAGGAAAGGCGGCAGAAGTGCGCATGACTAAGCCATATTCTTCATCCTTCGGCGCATATCCTTACGTAGACTTCATTGCGTATATTCGAATGAACATAGGTAATTGAGGGTACACCGACTTGATGACCCCCAACAAGACCTTGTAAGCTCTCTTGTGAGATTTTGAAGTCTTGAGACCATACGCGTCCCGCATGTGCGGCGGCAGCCATTCTGCCGTCATCAGACGCAGCAAAGGCATGTTAATCTTAGCCCACAATGGGAGCTCCTTGTTCCAGAGAAGATCCTTGCCAACACTGATAGCCTGAGCTGAAGCTTCAAAGCTTGCAATACTGCGGTCCCTCCCAGAACGCTTTGCGGTCTACGGGCCAATCCACAGCGTATTCCTGGTAGATTTCGTCGGCCTTGGCCTCGACATCACCGAAAAATCTTTTCGGTGATGTCAAGCCCCACCGCATACAGCGTCGGTGCAACCCACAGCTGCAGGTCGACATCGTTTGCAGAATAAGTTGCCCCCTGGACAGGGGCATGAGCGCGGTGGACCATGTCAATAATGGTTTTCTTCTCATCCACGTACCAAAGGCCATGCAGTAAACATACGTCATGGTCCACAGGAGGTCCATAGGCCTGTACGCGAAGTTGCTGTGTTAATTGACTCCTTGACCCACACCGGGGTTGGCGACCTGGAGCAATTGCGACCGCGCCACCAGCAAGAAGAATGGCCTCTTGGACCACTTTTTGCATCTCCTTGGGCTGGAATGACGGATCCAATGGGTCTGGCCTCTTCGAGTACTTCCCACTTGCCAGGCTTTGCTTCTCGGGGCTCTGTGGGCTCTGTGGGGTCATTGTTCTGCTGTCCAAGATGGAGGCAAGCACAGCAGTATTTTGCAGGAACACTTTCACAACAGTTATATATTCAGAGCAACTTGAAATTACCTTGGGCCACAAGGCTACGAAACGCCTATCGCGGCAGCATTTGGTAGCGCCGGCAAATTCTAGTTGGGATAGAATCTTCCCATTATTTCCTCCACCGCCACGATCGGCCATATTGGGTATAAACGAAGTCGATATACACATAGTTGCACCATGAGGGATGAACTTGGAGTCTTCAGGGGAACCTCGGGAGGTATGGACGATTCACTAAGTTATGCCACTAGTCAGCGACGTTTCGTAATGGCTTTAGGCAATATACATTGAGGGACCCGGCGAAGCAGGAACATCCATCCGGCTTTGCGGAGACTCATCTGCGAAAGAACCCCCATCGTCCACAGTAGGATAACCTTTCCGCTGAATCTGAGCAATCGATATCAGCGTTTTTGGCCTCAAAGCGGACCAAAAGCTTGACAAAATACCGACGTCGTGATGGCACAATGTCGTGCTTTTGTGCGGGGTAGAACCGGGGGTCTAGAACAGGGGCTAGAACAAAAGGTGGGAATTGGCCACGTTGTATTTGTATTGGATCGTACGTTAGACCACAATCGGTGAATTACCATTACCGTCTATCTATGGAACTGGTGAAGCCACCAGACTCTCGCAAAGAGCAAAGGCTGGCTTGATTATACGTCGCGAGTTATCTAGAGATTTACGGAGCAATCAGGTTGGCTAAGCTGAAGCCTAAGTTTGTCGCCGAGAGCCAATTAATAGTCGATATTTACCATCTTGTTCTTTGTGTTTCGACCCACGCCGTTACTTCAATCTATCCATTGCACATATCGCATTCTATCGTATTCTATCAAAAGGTGCAGAGTGTCTTTACATTCCATACTCACATTCTGCTCACTAACTGGTGGGAATCTAGAATCAGGCAGGATCTTAAAGCCGTCGCGCGAACAAATACGATCAAATCGACTCTTAACAGGTTCTGGCCGCTGCATTCACTTTCATATACGAATTTACGACTCTGCATCTTTCTCGGTAGGCGAGATCTGCTAAGGATTACAACACAGGAAGTACTCTGTTGACATGGGATAGATCGTTCGTGGCAGCACATCACAAGTCATAACTATTCCCGAGGACGTGTTTGCAGGTCAAGAAAAAATAGGCTTTGAACTGTTTCCTGCAGTAGACGATGAGAGGAAAATAACATGCAAAGGTCAATCAATCCGAGTATATCATCCTGATACACCAGAGAATCCGCCACACTATAAACATCACGACGTTAATATAGTCGGCGAATACCGTCCCTGCTGGATATGTGGTTCGCGTGATAGGGGGATACATGAAGTTCATGTAGGCGTTAGTTTGAATTTGCCCATCTTGTGGCCAACAAGGTGATGGAGATATCTTAGCTCGGGTCCTCGGGGACTGTAAGAGAGCCTTGGTGTAACGCTGCTTCCTAAACGATAGATTGCACAGAGGTTTCTTACGCAAGGTTTCTTTATTAAAGGGGATCAGACACAAGGCTTCTAAGTAACACGTTATAGTATGTAAAGAATACTATATTAAGTTGAGCACGAAGCTCCTATCTAAGGGAATACTATTACTTATATAGTAGCGTCATGCCTAGTAGATAGTTCCGATAGTTAGATAGTTCTAAATATCTATTAGATGAGTCACGTTACTACAGCTGTAACATTAGGCCTCTTAAACGCCTTGTAACCTAACAGATGGTCTCTTATAGACCCCACTACTTCAAAATATAATTAAATAACCAGAATATGTATTAAAACTAAAGCTACTTAGAATCTGATAAACTAAGTACTTCTACATCCTCCTGACAAGTTCCCGTATTATGAGCTTTTCCACAAGTGCCATAGTGCCGACTAGACAACTTGTCCTCCCCCCTACCGCTCCCCTCCGCACACAAGTCGTATCGCACCTACTCATCCACGTCCATCTGTGCTAAAAGATCTTGTGCATCCCCTACAGTAAGTACTGACGGACACAAGTCTTTTTAGCCCTCTGGTGTTTGCTAAGGGCCTCATTTACTACACGAAGGGTATGGACCTTAGCTAACAATAAAGTCATCTCATGTGCTAAGCTCTCGCAAAGCTACGTACGTACTCATAGCCTGCTCCTATGCCTACACCTACGCCTCTTCTACACCAAAACCCTCGACTTTTAGGGGGGGTGAAGAGGGGAAGAGTATAGCTAGGGCTATTATATTAATCTTTAGAAGAAGACATAGTTATAGTAAAGATAGTATAAAGTGTTGTTATTATTGCTTTTGTTTTAATAGAAAAGTTAGTTAATCTATTCGAGCATAAATACTATATCCAAACATCAATGCAATGCAAACCATTCCCTCCATCCATCCATCGCCTAAATACTATATCCAAACATCAATGCAATGCAAACCATTCCCTCCATCCATCCATCGCCTAAACATTAGCGCTCCTCTTTGCAATTTTACAAGTCGCCAAACACTGCTCAACCCCCTTTGCAATGCTAGCTGGAATCCTCCCCTTGAAATCATCAACCTGCGCTCCATCCACCGCCTGTCCAAAAGCAGCGCTGACCACATCCCCACTCAGCGCGAACAGCTCCTCCGCCACCTGCCCAGTTCCCGGGTCCTCCGAGCTCAAACTCGCCACAAATGTAGCTGCCTTGCACCCGGTGTTGAACTGTGTGTGCACACTGCCCTGGTAGAAGACCGTCATCTGGTTGGCACTGACGTCGTTCTGGACCAGGCGGCGCCCGCTCTGGGCGTTGCCGGCGGTCGTGAAGACGCCATTCTCGACAATCATCTCTGTGTGAATCATGCCTTGGGTGACGACCTGCAGCTCGGTGCCGCGGAGATGAACGTGGGGAGTGTTAAATCCGCATGGACCGAGGAATCCAACAGCCATCGCAGACTGCGTGCCCACAAGCGCTGGGAATGTCTTGCGGTTTGCGAGGATGATGTCGCCGCCTTTGCCGCCATTGCCACGGTTGACGTCGAAGTTGAAGAGGAAGGAGGAGTGATCGGGAAGAAGGGCGATGCGGTCCGCGGAGGTGTCGGCGAGCGCGAGTTGAGCAGTCAGGGAGAGGATGGGGTAGTTCCTCTGGGTGATGGGCGTGGCGATGGTGGTGGTAGTAAGGGAGAGGATGGTTGCGGCGAGGAGTGGTGCGAGTTGCATTTTGGCGGTTTGGGAGGGTGGTGGGGTGAGATGGGAGTAGGAGTCAAATGATTGAATTCGGGAAATGATGCGCTGTAGAAAAGCTGAGAAGACTGAGGAGTTGATGGAGAAGCTGATGATAATGAAACAAAGAGATACGATACTGGCGGATCAACCGGAGAGTTATATACTCAAACTTACCACAGTCCATATACGCTGACCGCGCGTCCGCCTCAAGACCACCACCGTATCTATTCGCATCCCATCTCATAACTCACCAACGGCTTACATCAAATCTTCAACCCATCAGCCATCCATGTCAAAGGTAAATCTCCCATTCGCCCAGCACCCGCTGACGTGAGAAAGATCCAAAAATATCCCAGCCAAGCGCAAGCGAGCCAACGACAACAGTTTTGTTTGCTCTTCCCTGTCCGGATCGCGAGGCGCCAGAGGGACCGCAATGCGCCACAACGCCCGCGGCTGAGTTGTGTTTCGTTTCGACGCGGAAGATTTCTGATCCGTACAGGGGTGTTGGACGGATGGGGAGGTTTTGGGTTTTGGGGGTATAATCAATTGTTCCCTTTTTGGGTATAAGTGGATCAGATGGAGAGTAGTGTAGGATTTCGGGATTTGTTGGTGGTCGTGATATGGTGATATGAGGGGCACAGGGGCGTGTCCAAGATCGAGATGTATATTGTACGTAACAAATGCGAAGACGCGTGACTAAGATCTATCCCATTAAACAAGGCCATATTTAGAATGTTAAGAGTGCTGCCGTAATGGTTCCAGGACACTATCCTTGGCGGACTTGACCGCCGATATTACACATCAGCGAACAAAGTGCTGAGGGGCTCTGAGGCCCCCCCAACATTACCCTACCGAACGGCTAGCACGAGTCCGTATTGCTCAATCAGGTAATAGCGAGGCTGATCTCAATGAAAACTTTGCAATACTACGTAATACCACAAAACCAGTTCTCTACAACTGTGAATGCCCTCAATTCTGTAATAGCAGTCAACTCAATATGGCGTTGCAAGTGGATTCTGAACTGGCTGGAGTCCAACGTGACGATCAGGGTTAGCACAAATAATCATAATAATCATGAGTAACGTCCTCCACAAGCGAGTGTCGCATACAATGACAGATCGTAACAAACTTTCTAACAACAACTACTATAGACTAGAAAATCAATTAAATTAATTATACACCTATTCTATAGTATCTTCGTAATCCCTTTGACATGTGCGAGCATTATGCCCAGTCTTACCACACATTCTGCAACGTCGTTGCTGTCTTTCAACCCCGCCGCCCTGTCGTAGTTCTTGAGATATCTGCTCTTCCACAGCTAGGTGAGCAAGTACATCCTGCCCTTCTTGAATTGTAAGGCACCCTCCTTGTTGTATACGCCTTTTTTTTTTCGCTTTTTGCGCTGACTTGCAACTTCATTTGCTTGTTGTAAGGCCTGAACTTCCGCCTTCATTAGAAAAGCAGAATGCACCATTGTTTGAGCACCTCTTAACAACTGGTCTAGCGCATTGTTAATAGGAGTTGGTGAGCTATTTTGATGGCATATAATGTGATCTTTAAGATGCGTAGTTTGACTTGCTAGCTCTATTAGATTGTGTGGTGTTTTAGGTTCCCATGAAGCATCCTCAAAGGTTGGTGGTGTTAAAGGCCCTAGTTGAATGTCAAGCTGTGACAACACAACATCAGGACAGAATGGAACTAGCCCTATAGCTCGAAAACTACTGCAGATGTTCAGCTTTGTGATTGCGTCTGTGAAAGCCTGCTTAAAGGCAGGAAGAAACTCAACTTTCGTAACATGGTTTATATGAGTGCGGATTAAGCTCTCAACTTGCTGTCCATATGCCTTCTTAAGTGGTCCAAAGCAACTAACATCAAGCGGTTGAAGTAGATGAGATGAGTGCGGAGGCATATAAAGCAATATTATACCATTCTCCTTACAGTATTGCTCAAACGGTAGAGAATAGTGACTCTCATGGCCATCTAGAATTAACAGGCGATGTGCACCAATGTCATACTGACATTCGTTGCACTCAGTTTGCTATCAAACTCAAGAGCAAACTTAGAAATCTCCTCCTCAAACCTACAAGTCACCATACATATCTTGGCTTATCACACCAACAACAGAAGCAATACTACTCAACGATTGCTGCAAACTCTTCTACTACATCTGTTTATGCTACATACATCACGGCATATCATTTGGACACTCATTGAACAAGTTATTAAGAAAATCTCCTCCTTAAGGGGGTGGGCCAATACTACCACATGGCATATCTCTACCAACTAGAGGCCTAGGAACATGAACGATAGCTCTAGAAGCTTCTACAACCGTCTATTATTCATTACACGTCATCGCTCCTTAGTTACCCACAAGATTGGTTAAGTTATGACATAATTTATCTATAGGTACTCTGACCTTGGACCTCCTTTTCACTTCCTATAGGCTAGGAACCCAAGAGATGGTTCTATGGGATTCTCTTACGTTCACTACATGATTAGCAAGCTAGTTGTGGGTCGCACTTGATTTCTAATACATTTACCAAGCCTGGTTAGTCATGGAAAGTCATGGAAAATGAGAGAACTACACTCCTTTGGCATAAATAGGATTGCCCTTTCCTTAAGAAAGGGCAAGCAGGCAATACAGTAAATCGACTATCACATACTTCCACGTCTTTTACAAGCTTCCAAGCATTCATCTTGTTACTCCTTGTTTCTGAAAAGTCAGTGAGGTGTTAACCTCCGACTTACCCCTGAGTTCCCAGACTCAACATTTGTTGCAACTTGTCTGAACCACTTCACTACATCACACACCTGATTGCTGCGTTGTGGAATAGTCTAAGCTACAACCCTTTGGCTCTGTTTCCTAAGACAGTGTGTTGTCTTAGTAAAATCATCCCTTCCTTGGGTGGCTAGATTCTCACATCTGGTGCACCCACCATTACAATGTGGTCATATCGGCCCAGTAACTAAGGAGCAATGACGTGTAATGAATCATAGAGGGTTGTAGCAATCGTTGAGTAGTATTGCTCTTGTTGTTGGTGTGACAAGCCAAAATATGTATAGTGACTTGTAGTTTTGAGGAGGAGATTTCTAAGTTTGCTCTTGAGTTTGATAGCAAACTGAGTGCAACGAATGTCCAGTATGACATTCATCCCCCGTTTCCATTTTTAGGCTGTCTGTAGTCCCTAGCCATGTGGCCGGACTTGTTGCAATTGAAACAGAGCCGTTCCTTAAGCTGTTGCTCCTTGTTAGGGTTGTGTAGGCGGTTGCCTTGCTTAAAGGTGGCATTGAGTTCCATAGGGTCTAACCACCAGTTTTCTTAAGAATGATTGTCTCTCTTTCGACCTTCGTTACCTCGATACTTGTAACTCTTCTTTAGTATTATGGCTACGGTAACATGACATCATGGTTACAGGACCAGGGCCTAGTAACGTGACATGTGAGTCACAGGGGGCAAGCGGGGTAGGCTGCCATGTGACGGGGCTAATGGATAGTTGCAGAAACTAGTGGATATTGGATAGTTGAGCTATCCATGAACTATCCTGAATATCTAGCTATCTGCCAACTATCCAGATTACCCATGAGGCATGACGCCACTATATAAGTAGATAGTATTTCCTTAGATAGGAGCTTTGTGCTCAACTCAATATAGTATTCTTTACAATACTGTAACGTGTTACTTGGAAAGCCTTTGTGTCTAATCCCCTACCTCCTCTGTCAAGTCAACCTTACGCAAGAAACCTCTGTGTCTTCTATCGTTTAGAAGTCAGTGTTACATTTAGGTTGTTATAAGTTCGTCATTCTTTCTAGAACTCGTATAGCTGGTTGTCGATCTAGACTGTATGTTCAATGAGCAAGACCATGTCTTTTGGTTTTGCTTTGTCCTATCATAGGTATTTGGCTGCCTTAGGCTCTGGTCTAGAATATACTGTAGCATCATCTTCTCTTGGATATTATCAATTAGAGCATTATACTCAAACAATATTTCCTCATCATTTATATAAGTCGAATCAATGATATCTACAACAGAGTAGTGTTCGAATAGCTGTTCCCGTTCAATTTTCTAGCGGTAAAAGACAAGCATAATTCCCTGTATTGTATCAGGGGTCATTTGGTTGCGCTTATAATTGCAGACAGCATGGGCAGTGCTAAAGACCCGCTTAACAAGAGCTTCTAAAGCAGGAATACAAAGTATATCCCAGGCCATAGCACCAAGTCCTGGGAATAGTAGTTCGTTTTCTTTCCACCATTTTAATGGTGGTTGATGGGAGGGTGCTAATAAAAGTTAGTAGTGATTACTATAATTATTACTATAAACTTACAGAGGGCAAGGTATCGCTCAATCTCTCCTCCTTGATCTTCAGTTTGACTGATGGAATTATAGCTTCGCTTCCAATTCAACATTAGAGCCATTAGGTTCTTGTCTAGTTCCATATAGTGTGATTGGTGCTGCTTCGATCTTTCTTGGTTTGCGTAATGTTGAGTGTATAATGCCCGAAATTCCTTCTCAAAATGCCTTTGCCAGTTTGTATTAGGATTCAACTAACAATAATCAGGGTTAAACACTTCCATCTTTAACCATGGAGATAGAATAGCACCAAAAGCATAGAAGTTACCAATACCTGTACAAGATAAGCTATAATACTTATCAAGCTTTTGTACAGCTTTATCAATAGCTTTTAAGAGCTTTGGAATCCATGGATCTTGTAATGGTTTAAGCTGACAGGTACACTCCTCAAGCCCTTCAAATAGGTCATCATATGCTAGTAACAAAGCCTAGTTGTGCACCACTTGCTATACCTATATTTGAAGTCCAGAAGCTAAACTAGCGAGTAACATTAATAAGGTAGGTGATATGTTTCCACTCTTCCGAAGTAATATAGAAGATAATAGCTGGAGTAAACTCAGTTGTAAACTTATTTACTGCTTCCTATAGTAGGACTGCTCGTAGCATCATATGTAGTGTTGAATCCTACTAGGTTGACACATCTTGGATAAGTCATAGGACTTTTGCCCCATTTTTAATGCATTGTCTTTGAATTCCCATAAATTGCTCTCTTCAGTATGAGCTAGAATTCACAAAGACAGCTAGCTTCTGAAGCTAGTATAGTATTAGTTGTGATTACTATAGTGATTACTATAAACATACCTTGGCAAGTGTCCATGGAAGGCCTTTTTCCTCACTTAGATCTTTGAGTTTGTCTACTAAATTGTCATCCCAGTCAATCTATAGCTCTGAGTTTGATGGGTTTAATCGAATTGACCTAAGGAGAGCCTTCTGTGCAAGCTGAACAATATGTGCAAAGCATGGGATATGATTAATATGTCCATCATGGTATCTTGTTGGCTCAGACGTAGCATTAAAAAAGCTTAATGAGTATTATACACTTGCAACAAATCAACAGCAGAGTCATTCAACTATAGCTACAATATGTGACCCACGTTATAACTTTAACGTATTTGATATTATTTAGCCAAAAAGCATTCGACATGCGAAAAAGGCGGGCAAAAGCATAATGGCAAGACTGTTATTATAAATATTTAGGCAAGGCATTAGACATCTAATCGTCGTGACCAAACTTTTCGCTTCGCTCAAGGTTGGAGTAAGCAACATGCGCCACTTCACGCGAGAGGAAGCAAGTTGCGCCAACTCACAACTTGCATATGTTCACCGCTACTCTGTAACAAAACCTTTACCATAGCCACATGTAGTATTCAATCCAATTTATTTAATGGAAGAGACTCCACTATCAAATGCCTGTAAATGGCTAGCAGAGAACCCCTCAGAATCTGCGACTACTGCCAGTCGACTTTTCAAGGTCGCGCGATCGTCAATATGGTCGAGTATTGCCCGAGCAGCTTGACGGCAGCAGCAAGCTCAGCAACAGCAGCTACCCCAACATGGGGGTAAGAATAAGCTGCTATCTACTGCACAAATTGAGGCTCTTAAGAAATGGATACTTGAGCAGTATTACCTAGGGCTTGGAGCTACTAGGATATGATATTTGCTGCAGTCTGCAAGCTCCGGAGCCCACAGCCCCCGCCATCACAGAGTTTGCTTACAAAATTTATTAAAAAAGAGCTTCAAGAATACCACTTTATGACTACAAAGCCAATTGCGCAGCAGCATATGAAGGCTCAAGACGAGCCTACTGTTACTACTTGGTTTCGCGACTACCTTGAGTTTGTACTACAGCGTAGTATACAGCCAGAGTCAATTTGGAACAGTGTTGGCAGTAGTATTTGACTATTGCAATACTAGCTATTGCAATATTATTTGCAGTGCAATAGTAAAAATTACGATATTGTTGCAGTGCAATATTCAAAAGTACCTATCGCAATATATGACTAGGATATTGCAATATTTACAGGATATGAGATAGAGTTTTCACCGATCTCTTGTCCTGTAGAAATTGAAGCCTTTAATGTAAATACTATTGTATCAAGACAAAATGGACCCTTCAGGCGCATCATTGCCACCCCCTGAATCAAGTGTTCTTTCTAGCCACGATACTCCAGACCTCGAATCGTTCGATCCCGTCACATCCTCCTCTTCTACCAAACGATATAGACGAAAACCAACAGAAAAGCGTCGGGCGCGGACATCCTTTGTATGGAAGCATATGCCGGGTCCAATTGACACAATATATCAACAGGAAGGCTCTGAGGCTATATACTGGCGTTGCAAGTATTGTCCAAAGGAGTACAGAGAGTCTGGTGGTACAGCATTTATTGCAGTTCATCTACAGACTGTACATGAGATTGTTGATAGCCGGGAGCAACAAAACACCCTTCAGCAATTAAGTATATCTACTGCGATGGCACGAGGCCTTGAAACGCAATACAAACGACGTCGTCTTGACTCAGTTCAATCAACCACAATCAACCCATCAACTCTTGAGCAGCTCTTTATTCAATGGATATCACGTTGTTCGGTCTCGTTCAATATAGTCGAAATCTCTGAATTCAGAAACCTCCTTGCATACCTTAATCCAGAGGTCAATAACTGGCTTCCAACAAGTCACAGTACAATACATAAATGGACAATGAGATGCTACGACAACGAACGAAACCAAGTGATAGCACGTGTACAGTCAGCACTTTCAAAGATTCACTTTACCGTGGATCTTTGGACTTCTCCGAACAAGCTTCCTCTAGTTGGCATTATTGGCCACTATATTGCAGAGAACAGAGATCTTTGTCAATCAGTGCTTGGCTTACGAGAGATCCACGGAAGGCATACAGGAGAGAATCAAGCCCTCATAATTGTGAAGGTAATTGCAGAGTTTGGAATTGCTTCAAAACTAGGCTACTTCATGATGGATAACGCAACTAATAATAAGATTGCAACTCTTTCGGCCCTGCTACTTACTGAGTATAACATTGAATATAACGCTATACATCATCGGCTTCGTTGCAATGGCCATATTATCAATCTTGTTGCCCAGGCTTTCCTCTTTGGATATGATAACGAGGCATTCTCTTCTGAAAGCAACCCTGGTATATACACTACTCCTACCGAGTTAGAAATGGATCTGTGGCGTCAAAAGGGTCCTCTTGGCAAGCTTCATAATATCGTTGTATTCATTCAACGTAGTCCCCAGAGAGAAGAGACCTTTTTACAGTTAAGCCATGGCAGGCGTCTTATTAGAGATCAACAGACTCGCTGGAACTCTTGGTTTGCAATGATCGATCGTGCGATCCAGGCTGATATCAGGATTGCAATTGACCTTTATTGCTTTCAATACAAAGCTGACATTCAGTTGGATACGCTAGCACCTGAAGAGTGGACCAAGCTTGAGCATATCCACGAGGTCCTACAGGCTTTTCAAGAGGCAACCCTTGCAACAGAAGGGCGACAGGCTACACTTGAAAGAGTCTTGCCTACAATGGATTACCTCTTAGATCACCTTGAGCAGCAGAAAATCAAGTACATTGATGATGCATTTATGGCGCCAATGATAAACTTGGGTTGGGCCAAATTGAATCAATATTATACCCTGACAGAGAGGTCAGCTGTATATACCGCTGCAATGGTATTAATACCATCACAGAAGTGGACCTATTTTGATGCCCATTGGCCACTTGAATGGGTTATAGCAGCAAAAGAGGCAGTGCAAGATCTTTGGAAGAGCCAATACAAAGCGGCAGAGCTTCCAGTTCTTACTACCATTGAACAAGCCACAAAACCCAAGACGGGCCTTCAGAAGTGGAGAGAACAGAAGCAACAACAAGCACCTACTATAGACGAATACATACGATATTGTGACGCTGCCTGCACACCTATTGTAGACCCAAGAGCATGGTGGTTAGAGCAAAAGACAACCTACCCTGCACTCGCAGTTATGGCATTAGATATTCTATCAATACCAGCAATGGAGGCTGAACCAGAGCGCCTATTCTCGAGTGCAAAGGCTACAATGACAGATAAGAGAAACCAGATGAAAGCGGAGACATTAGAAGCCTTAGAGTCATTAAAGTCGTGGTTGGGCGGTCATTCCACAGCATGGTTGGATAGTTGGTAGGCGACAGCTAGATAGTGATAGTAAAGCCCATCTAATACTATCAGTATATTGCAATAGCTTCAATATTGCAATACTAATATTGCAATATATTGTTGCAGTGCAATAGTCGGAATTCAAATATTGTTGCAGTGCAATAGTAGATTTTATTTGCAATATATTGCAATATCACACTACTGGCAACACTGATTTGGAATATGGATGAAACTGGCTTCCGGGTAGGAATCCCAGGTGGTGAGCGGGTAATTGTACCGCTAGTAGCAAAAGAGCTCTACACCCCAAGCCCTGAAAATCGTACGTCTATTACTATCCTTGAGGCTGTGTCTGCTGTTGGAAAAGTCATACCACCTGTACTTAGTATTGTGGGCAAAATTCATATGGATTCTTGGTACCACACCAACCTTGAAGGCACAGAGCTCTTCTTGCTCTCCGACTCTGGATTTACTAACAGCCAGCTTGCTCTCCGGTGGCTACAGCACTTTGCGCAGCATACAGCTCAATATGATAATGGAGAGCCGAAGGTTCTACTGCTTGACTCTCACGTTAGCCATACAAGCGATGATTTTATCATTGCAGCTGAAGAACACAACATTATCATATATACCTTCCCATCACATCTTACACACATTTTACAGCCATTAGACGTTGGGATATTCCAGCACCGAGAAGCTGTGCTTGCAGCTATAAGGCATATGGATATTACCTATGACCTCCAGTCCTTTATGCGAGATCTCACTCGCATGTGGGAGCAGACCTTTAAGGAGTCTACTATAATATCCGCTTTTCAGAAAGCTGGTATTTGGCCGGTTAGCTGTGCTGTAGCTCTTGCAAAACTACATACGCCTACTATAGAGCCTACACCTACGCCTATACCTACTCTACCAATCCGAGTTTCTACACCTAAACCCACGACTTTTAGGGGGGTAGAAGAGGGGCTACAGCACTGGAAACAGCGGGTTCCAGAAGGCTTTAGTAGCCCCTCGAAGCAGAGCTACAGGAATTGGCTTACCGGCACTGAAGAGGTAGTAGTAGCAGGCCAACTTCAGGAGCTTGACCTGCGTACTGTACGGCGGCAGGTCGAGGAGTCCAAAAAGCGGGCAAGCCGAAGTAGGGCCCGCCTTCAATCTGGAGGCGAGCTCTCTGCTGACCGAGCCCACGAGCTTCGGGCTGAAAAAGCCGATTGTTTAGCCCAGAAGCTTCAGGCCAAAGAAGCCCGGATAGCCCGCCAGGCTATCAACCAGGCCCGCAAACAGCTCCGTAGAGCTGGAATTGAGGCCCGGAAGCAGGAACGCCTCCGGAAAAAGAGGGTGGCATTCTACACTAATGCCAGCCTCCCAATTCCTCTAGAGTGGGAGGACCCAATTCCTGACCCGGAAGCCTCTGAAAGAGAGGGCGAGAAGGAGTATGAGATTGCAGGCGAGTGTGGGAGCGAGCGTGGGAGTGAGGATGGGAGCGAGCGTGGGAGTCAAAGTGATAATTAAATAGAGTAGGCAGATTATGTACCTTTACATACAAATTACTATGGGCTAGTACTTACTCTCGAAATCGTGAGTTGGCGCAACTTGCTTCCTCTCGCGTGAAGTGGCGCATGTTGCTTACTCCAACCCTGAGCGAAGCGAAAAGTTTGGTCACGACGATTAAGCAGCAAAGGTTATGGAAAGTATCTAAGATGAGGAATTAGAAGATGAGAATTCTAAGACAACAGAGTCTGATTCTGAGGATGAGCTATATGTCTCGCAACGGCAGCTAGGTTTAGATCTAGAATGGAAGCGCTAGATGAACGAGCCAACTCTTGGGCCTAAAATTGATATACTCAAGTTTTGGGCAAGTAAGCAATACCAATATCCAATACTTGCCGCAATTGCCAAAGATCATTTAGCAATTCCTGCTACATCAGCGGAATCTGAGCGAGTGTTTAGTGTTGGTGGCGATATTATTACAAAGAAAGGGAACAGATTAGCACCATCTACACTACGATATCTTATATGTCTTAGGAATTGGGGCGTGGTATCAGCAGGTGAGGATTCAGAGGAAGATGAGGATGCATAGTTACTGTATTTCCATAGTCTATATAGCTATCAATCATGTTTTCATTTTTATACTCGAGTAGTACTCGTAGTACTCGAGTACTACTCTACTCGAGCCCAAAAACAGTACTCTACTCGAAGATATCTGAGTAGTACTCTGAGTAGTACTCGTGCAACACTGGGATTTACTCGTCCTGCCTATAAAGCCAAGTCTAATATAATACAACGGCGCACTCCAAACAATCACTAAAGCCTAGAAATCATCTCCAGAACCCGTGGTTGAATCCTACGAGTCTTATCTCTACATCACCATCAACAGACTGTGCATATTTCAGGCCGTACATATTTTGACATTCCCACCCCGCTCTTCCCACAACAATCACGCACGCTAAAATACAAGTCTCGTTAATGTAGTTATCCACCCCCGCCCAAATCACATCCAACCCTCAAACCCTCTTCCTCTTCTCCACCGCCCCCTTCAACGCCCTCAACTTCTCCTCCGTAACCCTAATCGCAACATCCATCTCCCTCCCCCCGTCCAGCGGCGGCGCCTCCCTCTCCACCACCGGCGCCCCACCCCCCTTCCCAACCCTCTCCTCAAGCCACTCCCAAAGCTCACTCTCCTCCCTCCTCCACACCTCGTCATACGCCACCATCCTCTCCGCGCCCCCCCACCTCTCCATCCCCCCACCTCCCCTGCGCTCGCCAAACCCAAACCATGCCGCGACCAACAGCCCCACCAGGAGGCCATACACCATATTCGCGCTCCCCATCGAGCCGAAGACATCCGCCACCGGCCCCAGGATGCCGTGGAGAGGCTCCAGGACGCCCCAGTCTGCTTTCTTGGCTGTGGGTTTGGGGGAGCGAGAGGGGGACGGCGTGGTCTTGGTGGTGGATTTGCGGGTCTTCCGTTTGCGTCCGCCGGCTGCGGCGGTGGTGCGTGTGGGGTGAGAGATCGCGGTGCGGAGGGCGGCGAGGATGTCGCGCGCGTAGGTTGTTTGGCCGTCGTTGGCGCCTTTTTCGATGGGGCCTGTGAGGGGGGGTGGGGGTTAGTTTGTGTGTTAAACCGAGTAAAAAAAAGGGGGGGAGGGACATACCTCGCAACCAACTCTTCCCGGTCCACTCAATCGTACAATTCATCTGCAGCCTCGTCCCGCCTCCCTCCGCCCACGAAAGACAGTACTTCGTCTTGGTGGTAAACACGTTCCCGCTCGGCACATCCGGCGTCTGCGTCGACACCGTGACGCTGACCGCTTTCTCGAGATCCATCGCGTCGAGTGTCTCGGTGATGACGCACTTCGTCTGGCGCGGCCCGATTGCGCCGTTGAGAGGCTTGATGTACGAGAATGTGCGCGTCTTCGTGTCGCCACCTAGCCCGCGCTTATCTTCCATTGTCAGCTCTGTGCACTTCTGATCCACCGTCAGCCAGCGCGACATCCACGCCGCTGACGCCGGGCCAAACATCAGGTTGTAGACCTTGCCCAGCGGCGCGGGGACCACCTCGTCGGCGAGAATCTTGTCGTAGTGCGTGTCTTGGTCCGAACACTCCGTCGGTGCATGCGTCGCAGGGCCAGGCGCATCTGAGCCAACTGGACTTCCCTCTTTCCTTTCGGCCGCGGAGCCGCCGGCGGCCGCGAAAGCCTTGCGAGGTACCGGCTTTTCGGGCGACCCTTCAGACGCCGCAAAGCTTCCAGAGCGCGCGGAGAAACTGAGTGCGTCATCACCATCATCGTCCTCGTCGTAAACGCCATCCTCGGTCATATCAGACTCGGATCCAGAGCCACCGCTCACGCTCGCGCAGTCTTCTTTTTCGGTTTTATCCCCGCCGCCGGTCTCGTCGATGCGGACCCCGTTCAGCGAGGAGCGCAGGCTGGGGTGGCCGAGCTTCCAGATGTCGACGATGAGGTCGTAGGTGGAGTCACGACTTGTGAAGGAGGCGAAGATGTTCTTGCTGTGCAGTGTGGAGATCATGAGTCCGTTCTTGAAGACTAGTGCTGTGCTGCGCTTCTCGACGGAGACGATCTCGTCAAAGCTCATCACGAGGGTTGTCACCCATCCGAAGATGTTGCTGTTGAAGCAGAGGTGGCCCTCTGAGACGTATAGACGACCGTGTGCGAGGATCTCTCGCTGCAAAGCACAGCTGTAGTCTTCAATTAGGTAGTCATCGTCAGGGACGCTACGGAACAGCTGGTGGAAATCGCGGTTGCGCTTCTTGCTCGCCACGGCGAACCCAGTCACCTTCGGCGTTGCTGCTGCTCCCGTCGCCAGTCCAGCTCCGAGGGTCGTCCCCGTCGCTGCAGAGCTGCCACGTTTCCGGCGTGTGGATTCCCGAAGGGCACTGCGGATGCTATTGCTCCTGCCAATGCCTGTCCTTCCATCGAAAATGCTCCCGTTCTGTGGGCTGTGGTCACCAGCAACACTGGGCTCAAAGACAGGCCATGTCTTTGTATGCAGTCCCTCGCCGTTCATCGGTGGTAGGTCCACCTTCTCCGCTGTCATGACAGGACTGGCAGCGCCAGAGCGTGCGGTGTCCTCTGGCCCCATCATCGCAGCACGGCCCCTGTTTAACTGGTTATCGTTAAACTTCGCTGTTGTAGGAGTATTCGAGGCACTGGTTGATTCGACAATTCCGAGATGGCTTAGACTGAGATCTCCCATGCCCAATGTCTTCACAGCCGGCTCCTTGGCCTCCGAATCACTTCTTATCCTGTTGTCGTCTATAGATTCCACCTCAACGTCATCCATAAGTGTGACAACCGTCTCTTGTGTGTTACTCCTTGCCCTCTGTTGTCCCGGTAGGGTTGTGTTTATGCTATTGGTTAGGGTATTCGCTGCGTTCTGCGCCGCCGAAAAGACTGAAGAGAAGAAGCCGGTCTGCTGGGTGTTCCCAGGGGTTACGGATCCGTTCTCCGGCGTCGGCGTGAGAGGTGCTGACGTGATATTCGACAACTTGCTCGGCCCTATACTGTTCCCGCTCGTTATTGATCCCGAGCGTATGTGTCTGTGTGATATCATGTTCCCCGACGGGGACGTCACCACATTCGGATTCGTCGAGCTCGGCGAGCCCGAGAAGCGCGGTGAGGCAGCCTCGGTTGGTGTCGGAGGAGTATTGACTATAGCCGGCGCAGCATTCTCTATAGTTGTGGGAGGCGTGCTTGGTCGGCCATTCGTCTCTATCATATATGGGGCCTTGGGGGTCTTTAGCCTCTCAGGAGACGCCCGAACCGTTTGCACCTCTGGCGACTGTTGCGGCGATTGCCTGTCGGGAAAGATAGAACCCAGCCTCGCTGCGACGCTGCCCCGCCTGTTTATAATGGAGGTCGGCTGCTTTTCCTTGCGCACTGGTGTCGAGCCCCTCGATCTCCGCTCCGGGCTGGAGCTCGGGCTGGGTGCCTGTCGCGGTGTGAATGCTTCTCTCAGTCTGCCTACTGGAGAAGCTGACCGCTTCGGCTTCAACTCGTGGGGAGCTTGTAGGGACGCCGTCGTGAGGGCGGGTGTGGAGGCGGTCGTGGAGGGTGAAAGGCGGACGGCGGCAGGGGATTTCGTAGGAAATGTGGTCGCGCTCGATTGTTGGGCAGGAGGAGCGTTGTTAGGTACGTGTGAGGATTTAATGAGAGGTGAGGAGGTCGTTAAGTAACCGCTGTGTGACGGGTGCGACTTGAGCGGTGGTGCAACCAAGGGTCTATGGAAAGCAAGGAGCTGTCAGAAGCCGAAAACAAGTAAAAGAAAAACGGCGAAGCTGAGCGAGTGTAGCTATGCAATTGCAGTACAAAAGAGAGTAATGGTATTTTAATATTGGGAAAGTGCAAATATAAAAGAAGGAAGTGGTAGAAGTTGTTGTAGTTTGTTGTAGTTTGGACGGGTGGAACGCCTTTACTACTGTCTCGCTTCTGAGGCGGCCAGTGGCGGTCAGGGGATGGCGAACAGCCTGAATAGCCTGAACAGCCCTGAACAGCCCTGAACAGCCCTGAATAGCCTGAACAGTGGATAATAGCTACAGAACTGCAACTTGTAGTGGGAAAATCCACAAGGCACCGCTGATAAATATATCAGAAAGAAAAAGGGCGCACTCACGACTCTTCCGACTCCAAGATCAACAGGCTGGCACGATCGCCCTCGACGTCGTCCGTCCTCGCTGATCCCGCCTCCATCTCCCCCTCAATATCCCTAGGCATATCCTCCAACGTCATTCTCTCCGCAACTGCCCTCCCCCTCGCCGCCTCTTCTGCTTCCCGCTGCTCCTTCTTGCGTCTCCGTCGCGAGCGTATCCGTGGCGGCAGCAGCTTGTCGATACCGTTTTTCTCGCGCAGCTCGCCAAGGCTGTACAGGCTGTCGGAGTTGCTACTGTGCCGCCCCGACAAGAACGACGACAGCACTCCGCCGTTCGCTAGGTCGCCGTTGCCAATACTGCCGTCGCTGATCGTCGAGCTCGTGTCGGCAGTCTGGCTGCGTTGCGTGGTCGGGGGCGGGCCGGAGTTCATGGACATGCTGCTCGGGAGAGAGATGGGTCTTCCTTTGAAGGTGTGTGTGTTGAGGCGAGCAATGCTCTGCTGTGCTGACGAGTGCAGTTCGAAGCTCGTTGAGCCCGTATTGAAGTCGCAAAGTCGCAAAATCGCGGGGGGGGGGGGGTGTTTGGCTAAAGTGCTATGCCATGGGCAAGGCCAAGCCGTTGAGATGGCTCAGGTCGTGGGTAATCTCTCCGTTCGCTGTCGCTGTCGCTGTCGCTATGGGCTGGAGCTCTGGTCGATGGGTTTGAAGTAATCGTTATGCTGTTATACAACTTCAAGGACTCTACAGAGAGGGTGGATTCCCCGTCAAGCTCACCAACGTCATCCCCACCCACTAAAACAACTCAGCCTCAGCCTTGTTCTTCTTCAGCCTCGCCAGAACAGCTTCCTCCACATCACCTTCCATCTTCCATCACTCACCTCAACCTCAACCTCATTGTTCCAGACCCATCTCATTCCGGCACAATAACACCAAACAGACCAGCTTCACACTGGACTACTCATCTGAGCATGCCATCTTGATAAGCAACAGACAACTCCTCCACGACACTACGCACACCCCACCATCGCCAACCATGGAGTCCGCGCCTTTAACCCAGGTACGCCACCCCCCCAGCTGCCTCTCATCGCACATCCCAGCTAACTCTCTCTCCCCCAGGCCTACGACCATGCCCAAGCCGCCTCCATCGCAACCCACGCCTCCGACCACCCAGCAGCAATAACAGCCCACACCGCCGCCGCCTCCTCCTTCGCCGCCGCCGCCACCACCACCACCAGCCCCGAAGCCCTCCGCACCCTCGCCCTCCTCGCAACCCACCACACAACACTCTCCGCCCTCCTCGTCGCCCCCAACCCCCCCCAACCCTCACCGACGCCGACTTATCCGCCAGCTCTGAACCCCCTATCTCAACCTCCGCCGCCGTCGCCGAGCTGCGCGCCAAATCCACTTCCGACGCCCCACCAACAACCAGACAACAACCCACCTCCTCGTCACGCCGCACACCAGCCTTCACATCGCTCCAACCACCCCGCCGCATGCCCCCCCGCGAGCTCTCCTCTTCAATAGCAAGCAACCTCGCCTCCGCGCGCGGCATCCGCACCGCCCACCCCCTCTCCCCCGGCCTAACAACCACCAACGCCCCCGGCGCCATCTCCGCGCGTCGCCGCACCCACGACACCACACCCACACCCAGTTCCGGCCCCAGCTGGCTCCCCCCCGTAAGCCACGACCAAATCGCACGCACCGATGCCGTCCCATCGCGACCGGCGAAGCCCACCCCCGCCGACGTCACTCTCCCAGCATCGGACACAGATGAGAGATTTACACGTTTCTACTCCACCTTCGAAGGCCTCCTCTCCAAGCTCTCCGCACCACTCGCTTTCGCCGGCCTCCCCCTCATCGCCGAAGAGCCCGCACAACCCGCTAAATTCCCCTCTCGTCCCTCCACCTCCGCATCCGCCAACCCGGATCTGTCAAAATACATATCCCGCGCCGCCCTCCGCGCCTCAGCCTCCAACCCAGGCGCAGCTGACTCTTTCTACGTCGTCCCCACCACCGGCGGCACCGTGAGCTACGCATCTATCCTCTCCTTCGCCGAGAAGGAGAAGCGGCGACTCGCTGACCAACGCCCGGCATCCTCGTTCGAAGACGACGATTTCGTCGACGCGCGCGAACACCCCTCCCCCCCCTCACCTACGAAATCCCGCTCATTCGCTGCTGCGGTGCCAAGCTCGCGATCTGGGGGGAAATCGGCGAAGGAAGCCGATCGCGAGAGAGAGGAGTTGGGGATCGAGAATAAGAGTCTGAAGGCTTGTGTGGATATGCTTTCTAAGCGCCTCCATGCCTTCGAGGCCGCGGCGCAGAGCTCGACGATCGCGTTGCATGAGAGTATGCGTTTTCTCAAACCCGTGTCGTCTGGGGCGGGCGCCGCGAAGCCGGTGGTTCCGCTTGAGCATCCCCGCAGGCAGAGGATGGATGAGCCGACGGGGAATGATGCGCGCATCTTGACGGCGAGGGCGGAGGGGTTGGAGGCCAGGCTTGTGGCAGTGGAGGCGCAGTTGGGGGATGAGAAGAGGGCGAGGAGGGTGGCGGAGGCGGAGAATGAGAAGTTGAGGGGGGTGGTGGGGAGGTATAGGGAGAGGTGGGAGAGGTTGAAGGAGGGGGCGAAGAGTAGGAGGGACGGGGGTGGGGGAAGGATGGGAAGGAGGGGGGTGGGAAGGAGGGGGGTGGGAAGGAGGGGGGAGGTGGAGAGGGTAGACAGCCTGTGGAGGGCTCGCGGTTTGTGGCTGGTTAGGGGGAGGAGAATAGGGTTTTTGTTATGGAATTGGAGTACTCGAGTAGGTGGGTTGTATGGGAGCGTTTGGCGTTTGGAGGAGGAGGGGGCGCAAGAGAGAGGGGATATGTATGTATTACACTACGCTATTGTACGCGCAATGGGTGTTGTGGACGTATTGCCGGGTCAGATATTACGTTCCAGGTGTATCAATAGCTGCTCGTTCTATCTCAGGCATGCCGAGTTGAGGGCCGGATCCGGGGTATGCCAGTTTAAAGGTCCCTCATCCTTTATCCCATCTTGGGCCATACCACAAAATCTCAACACGCTCCATCCTGGCTATGACACCCTTTTCTCTGTTACTACACCGACCGGATGTAAGAACTGGGCTGACAATCGCTAGGGCTGGCCAGATAATTGTTGGGTAAGATTGTACCTAGCATTGCTGCTTATTATTGCTTACTCGTTCTGCAAAATTCTCTAGGGGTCATGTCACAACTTTACAGTATGGAGGGTCAAGTTAATCTTATATGCTACATTCTCGGTGGTCCGGTCCTGGACGCCGACCGTCCTGATTGGCTAGGCGACAACGACATCGCGCTATCCCAGGACGACGATCAGGGACAACAAATTAACCTCAAACATTAGCGATGGACTAACAAGGCCCTACGAGGGCCGTTCGCCAGAACTGAGACTGACGCATGAAAGAGAGTGTGCTACAGACTCGAGATCTTGTGCCCTCATGAATGTGAGAGAAGTCCATACCTGATGCCGTCCGCGATGCGACGGCAAGGCTGATCTTGGTATGGCTTCGTCTTCTCCAGATGCCGTTGTTGCACTTGAGGGGGGCTTCGGGATTCAAAAAGCATGCAGGGCTGAGATGGCTAAGTTGAAGAGGGCAAGAGATATAGATATGGCGTCTTCTCCGGTCGCCCCTTCCTCTCCACGGATTCCAATTTCTTTTTCCAATCTCAGATTCGTTCTACATCTCACAGCGTCTGCCGTCCTGCAGTCCTTCATTCCTTCCAAGGCTCGTTCATTCCTTCCAAGGCTAGTTCATTCCTTCCCAGATCAACCTGTCACTCGTTGGTGTCCCTCCGCCAGTGTATCATTCCCGCACCCCCCCAGCGTTTCAGCCTCCACACACCACAACCCCAGCACGAACGCCCAATCGCGCCACCATCAATCCCCACCGAACAGCAGGCATGGCCCAAGGAATCCTCGTTCGTACCCACCGGACGAGACACTAGCGCAATGGCTCTCAAAGCCCACCCTCCATCCTCCTCCCGCATAAACATCTCCCGTCCCCTCAAGCCCGCCTTCGCGCGCGCTGCCAACTACTTCACCAGGACGCTGCCCGATCGCCCTCGCACCTCCTCCGGCCCCAACAAACAAACTGTCATCCATCTCGGGCTCGCGAAGCAACAGCAGCAGGATCGCCGCAGCGCCAGCGAAGACTCTCAGCTCCCCGCCAACGCTTCGTACTTCGCCAATCGTGCCCTCCTGCCTACTCCTCCAGACGAGACCACAGCGATCGCGGGGCGCGCAGGCGCGAGTTCGAGAAATACGGATACACCTCCCTTTCTGACACCCCCACCTCGGCCATGAGCGCCCTCCAGCGTGTCGCCACGGATGAGATGCCCATTGGCATGGCTCTAGGCTCACCCAGCCAGGCGCCACAATACCAGTCGTCCCCCCGTCCACACAATTTCACAAACGGCCGGTTTCCGCCGCCATCATCAGCGTCACATCCGTCCCTCGCAATGGCTACGGCGTCGACTAGCAGCGCTGAGTCGCCCGTTCCCACCCCACCACCGGCGCAGCGTCAGAAGGGGAAATGGAAGCTCTTTGGCGGACTGTTCAGGAAACCGCCGCCGCAGTCGCAACAGGCGTTCTATAAGCTAGAGCCAGAAGCGACGCAAGAGACTGACCCGAAACCAGATTGGTTGCACTTCCCCGAGCCGCCGGCGGCGATGGAGAAGGAGCGCGGATGGGGAAGGACGAAGAGGTGGCCGCAGACTGCGAAGCCGAAGTTGGCGCGCTCGGCGACGACACCAACGAGACGAATGGAGAAGAGGGTGAGGGTTCCTGTTCATACGCCGATGCAAACTCATGTGGAAGACGAGTGGGCAGCCATGACGCCGAAACCGGAGAGGCCGTTGCTAGTGGTTGAAATTCCGACGACGGAGATGGAGAGGTATAGCGTCATGTTCTCGTCGCTTCTGGACAAGAAGAACGGCACACAGCCCTCGACGTCAGGTCTCCTGGCACGTCGACAGGCAACGCTCGATAGGCTAAAGAGCGTCAACGAAACGATCGCAGAGCTCGTGAGTCTATTTCCTCTTCTCACTAGCAGCGCCCATCTAACATAGAGCAGGAACGCACCGAGCAGCGCCTCGACGCACCCACTCGTCCCCGCCATGCCACCTCCCCGAACCCAGAGTTCTCCCCGCGCCACTCCCCGGGTCCCTCCCAATCCCCACGCCACTCCCCCTCCTTCTCACTCTTCTTCAACGGCGCCACGCTGACCACTCACCCTTCACAACCAAACCTCTCACCCACCCTCACCCGACACCCCGCATTTAACCCACCAAGCCCTACCAAACCATCTCACCCCCACCGCCTAGCACCCAACCGACTCACCCGCTCCAACACCTCCCCAGAAGTCCTCACCCCACTGCAAGAATCATTCACTCCCCCGCGTCCACGGTCAAGGCGCCACGCCGCCGACTCAGAAACACACACCATCGTCCTCGTCGGCACACCACCCTCTCACGCCCCTCCTCCACCGCCCTCCTCCTCCACCCTCCCCGCAAACCCTTACCCGCCACACCAATCCGAAACCCCCACAACCCCCTGGACAGACCGCACCACCCTCCTCTCAACTCTCTCCACTGCCTCCCTCCCCACCACTCCCGCCGTCCACCTCAATGCCCGTCCGCCGCCCCAATTAGAGCCGGAATGGGAAATGGTCCCCCCTCCTGCCAGCCAGTCCGAAACTCGCGACCGCAGCCGTGATCGGTACCCTAGATGCTACGCCTCCCCGGGCTCGAACGCTGGTAGTAGGAGCTCGGGACGAGGGTCGGAGTCTGCGGGTACGCAGGGGAGTGTGTCCAGCGCGTCGAGTGCGGAGGCTGAAAGCCCTATCAAGGCACCCGCTTTTGCCATTGCCGCGCCTACGAGTAAACCTATCATGCCGATGCCTACATCGCACGGTGCGCCATCACCACAGTCTCAGGCACAGGGGCAGGCACATCCACAGCATCAGCAGCAGCATACCCCGCACCGTCCTGCACTTCACCCGCTAGCTACTACGTCCTCGAGCTCTGGTAACGTCCAACGCGTGGAACCGGTCCCACACGTAAAAGTGAAGGGCAGCGTGGCTGTCGCGCGGCAGATGTCGATTGCCAGACAGCGCGAACGCGTGGAAGCGGAGGAGGCGACGAGGGGTGGTGGCATTGGCGTTGGTGTCGCGAGGCAGATGTCGGTTAGTCGTGCGAGGATCACGACTACGGTTGCGGCTGCGCCTACGGGGGGGTGGAGGGGGACGAGGGAGGGACATGGAGAAGGTGGGGGAGGGAGAGGGAGAGGGAGAGGGAGAGGGAGGGGGAGAGGGAGAGGGAGAGGGAGAGGGAGAGGATTATTGGAGATGCTGGGGATGCTGGGGGGGAGGTGGAGAGGGTCGTGGGGGGGAAGAAGATTGTGGTTAGGAATAGGGCGAGGACGGCGCAGAGGGTTGTTGGGGGGGAGGAGAGGGGGAGGAATAGCGAGTATGGGGTGCTTGTTGGGTAGGGGGTGGGATTGGGATATGGGAATGGAAATTGGGGATTGGGGATGGATGGTGTTTGGATTCGGAGTGGATATTATTCATATACCATACCCAAGTAAATATTTATACCTAACATTTGAAAATTAACAGGATTAATTTAAATTATACCACATCTCTTTTCTCGTTCTGAAAAGTTGGTAGATGTTGAATAATATTTAAAATGTATTTTTATTCAACTTTTAATAATCCCAGAAAATAAGACTAATAACCTAGAATCACACATGCATCAGTGTTAGGCACGGATCGTACATGACCCGAGCTGATCAGGATACTGTCATAAATGTGACAATTGTGGTAAAAATGAGTGACTCGGAGTGTCAGATTTGCCATCAGATCATGAGAGCTATCTCAAATGGAGGAGCTATCGTTGCCACCTCTACTACCTCAATCCACCCCTATTCAGCCCTCAATCTATATCGTCGAGAATTGCTTGATACTCAGCCTCGAACTGTCAAGATGATATGCCTATAACCAGGCTGTGGATATTCATTACCGCCACTTTAATTAAAGGAATCATCAACAGGCAATCTTTGGAGGCATTATTCTTTAAGGCATTCAGCTATATCATATGCCCTTAAAAATGATAATGGACAGTCGTCAAGCGCATCTAGTAGTACATCGTCATTTTTCAAGCCACGCCCATCAGCCTTACTAAAGCAACCAAGCAATCTAGCAAGTACAGAGAGTTATTGCTCTAGTTTATTGTATCAAACAATCTATCAATACGCCTTGTTGAAAGCCATTCATTTCGCGAATTAGTCCAATTTTTAAGCCTAACGTACGTTACACCGAGAACTACAGCGTCAATTCTCATATCACCGAGGCCAGTGTATCATACAAGACTCACCTGAGGATTGGAGTCTCGAAGTCAACCGCGTGGCAGACGTTTATCTTAACGCGTATGCCACACTAGCAGCAGACTTGGCACCCCATTCAGATGCGGGCCTTTTTGTCACGGATACTTGTGCCACTAATGGTACACCGCAGGTCCGACATTTTAGCCAAGTTGATGATACTGGCATTTGTCACCAAATATTTGTAAGGCAAAATTGGCCCCTGCCAGGAAAGAACCGACACTTAGGAGATGTGGATAACTGTCCATCATGTTAGCCTCGGAGGCGGTTAGCAAACTGAAAAGTCGGGCGTGGGCTCTCCAAGAGAATATGTGTCGACACGTGTACATTGGATTTCCTGTGGAAATCCAATGTACAGGAATTCTACAATGTCAGACTTTAAGGCCATCCTAAAGTGCTCCCCTTCAACAAGAGTTCATAGCGAGGAAACATCAAATCTTGCATCTAGTATCTGGCATTCTGTGGGTCGAAGACTTCACTGCTCGAGACCTGACGTACGCGAAAGATCGTCTTCCCGCCCTATCTAGTCTCGCGAGGATGCTGCCATTTCCAGAAAGCGAGTATATCGCTGGGCGGCTATGGCAAAATCGTTTGGTGGATGATCTAATATGGCTCAACCCCCTAGGGCGTACCTACTGGGAGCTGGACAACAACAGCGGCGCTTCCGCAAGGCCAGACACACCAAAACTTCCAAATAATTATCGTATTCAGGATGAATACGCCCCGAGCTGGTCGTGGGCCTCAATGTCGGCTCCAGTAGCGTTCAGGATTGAGGATCTTAGCGATGTCATTCCCGAATGGAGAGTCGCAGGGTAAGTTAGGCGTATTCCTATTACGACCAATCTCTACGGGCCGGTATCGAAAAGCTCGTCGCTCTACGTCGAGGGATACGTATTACCGGTTACGTTTTCCAGCGTAACGTCCACGAAGTCTACACTTGGCCAAAATGGAAATTACCATGCGCCCATGGAAGTTTGGGTCGTACGAGGAGACAAGGCATTTCCTGGGAGGAACAAGACATGGTTTGATGCCGGGGCGGGTGGCCAAGAGTGGCGAGTTGAAGGCTGCGCATATTATGAATTGCAATTGGGCGTCGAAAAGCCGACGAGATTCCTTTGGCGCTTATTCTGAGAGAGAGAGGGTCGGTGGATGGAGAAGTATATACGAGGATTGGCATTGTCAGTTTGGAAAATTGGAAAGGCCATGGTGGAATATCGGAGCACAGCAACGTGCGATAACAATATTCTAGCATTAGTTGGCACTTATTTTCTTCTTTTCTCGCGCGGTAGATAGCTGCCTAGATCTACGCATTTAAATCTAAGTAGATGCGAGGCCTCACGAAATATTTCCTTGGAATGATATTTATGAGGATGGTATGCCCGAGTTGGGAGAATAAATGGCTTATTAATTGAGGAATGATAGAGTGCAATGGCTGAAGACAGTGAACATTTGAGTGCAATAAATTTCATTCCCTGTCAACTGAATTCAAACTAATTTCTAGCAAATTCTGTTGAGTATGTCAAGAACAAACTTTCCATTCACGTAAATATGTAAATGCTGACTTCAAAAAACGAATTTCCAACGCACCCTCCGCTAGTTTGACGTGAGTCCACCCCAGCGTCCCCAAAAATACAATTCAACAACTCCCATGACAAACGCCTAACCCCCTCGCCTCCTATATCCACCCATCGCCTGAAATCTCTTATGGTACTCTATCTGTGCCTCAAATATCTCATGACCCAAATTACTTCGTGTGCGGCAAACTTGTGTACTTCTTCCCCCAGCCGAAGGTCCCGCATCCGCAACTCCGTTGCCGGTGTTCGTCTGAGTCGGCCGCGGCATGGGTTGCCGAGTTGGTAGCGCCGATTCTTGATCACTGATTCTTGTAGGCTCGACCGGAACACTACTTCCTTCGGTCGAGGGTCCAGCATCCGCGGTCCCATTGCTGGCTCTCGTCCGAGTGGGCATCCCCGTCGGTGACCGAGGCGCAGCTGTCAAATTTTGGCCAGTAGATGTTGAAACCCCCGCGGCCTGGGCCGGTGGTGATTGGCGCCGCGTCCTGCCTCTCGCGCGGCCTCCACGCGGCCTGGTAGCCGCCACAGGAACTCCGGCCGTGCCAGTGGTAGGTGCGGGCGGTGGGCGCGGTGGACTGGCTGCTTTAGTATGCGTCCTTGCTTTGCCTTTCGTTGCAGGATTTGTCCTCGGTTCTCCAGACGGCCCAGGGGTAGCTGGTCGTTCCACAGAATTTGACGGGAGGGCAGTATCCTCGAACTTGCAAGGCGGGCTAGAGGATGGTGCAGGGTGGGTTGATAGGCCGGCATATGTGGTAGCTGTGGTTCCAGATGAGTTGCTGCCGGTCTGGGGGCCCTTGGATGGACCAGAACGAATAAGACTAGGCGGGTTGTTGCGGGGTTTAAAAGAGCCGTTGCGAGCTCTTGGAAATATAGACGACCCATTATGTGAGCCGAGTGCCATAGAACGGCCTGACCTCGACGAGCCCCGTGACGGCGTAGCAGTTGCCATAAACCCATTTGATCGGGCTGGCATGTACGGCGCCGATGACGGCCCAGAGGCCGCATTGCCATTTTGTGACTGCTGTGATCGGGCAGTTCCATTACCGTTCGCAGCACCAACGCGATTTTGCTGACGCATACGCTGGGCCCTTAGTTCCGCCTCCTCCCCCTTTCTTTTTTTATCGGAGTAGAATGGTAGGTCACGCAGCGGTGGCAAACTCCATCGTTGCGGCGCATGTGGCTGGGGAGCCGGGGCGCTTAAAGCCTGTGTTGGAAGCTCGGATTCCGGGGACTCAGAAACTGCGTCCTGGGACTGGACGGCTTGCTGGCGTGCTCCTGGAGCCGCGGCGCCTGAAGCCTCTGCTGGAAGGTCGGGTTCTGGGGGCTCGGAGACTGAGTCCTGGGACCGGAGAGCTTGCTGGTCTGCTCCTGATGCGGTATCTTGGATATAGGCGTGGCTGGGTTGATACTCAAAAACTGGAGCGGCAGGATCTAACTCTTTGGATACCGGCGGATCGGAATCAAAATCTTCGTCCCAGTCGTAAAATGGCGGGTACATGCCCCATGGCTCGAATGCTGGCGAGGTGGCGAGGATAGGGGTTGGGGAGTAGCGGCGGCGGCCACTCGGGGGACCGAGACAGAGAAAAAACTCTTCATCGTCGTCGTCGTCGAAGGTGATTGCGCCCTGGTGATCCTCGCGAAATTTGGCAATAGCCAAATTACGCTCGTAGTCAAATTGCAAAGGTAAAGCTTGTTGACCTGCGGTGGAGGATAGAAAAGTCTCATGCCCTGTGGTATGGACTACACTTGGGCTGTTCAGAGCGTTGAGTGTGCTTGGCTGGATCCCCTCCAACCCAGTAAGGCCATATATATTCTCAACGTGAGTATCTCCCAGTGCATGAAGTAGTCTATCTTGAGAAGTTGATGGTGGGCCGGGTGGCAAGTCTGGGCTATGAGGCCACAAGGTCCTGATGGAGATATACTGGGGATCGGCAGGAGGAGATGAAGATTCCTCTCTTGTGGTATCAGATGGCCAAGCCATGGCCTGCTGCCCAGACGGCGACAACGATGGACTAGGCGGCACATTGCTAATAGCACGCCTCAGTATTTCGACAACATTAGAGGCAATGGTCCCTTCATTCTGTCCCACAGTGGCCATTGTAACTGAAGAAATGTTCTTTATAATCCAGAGTTTAGAGAAGTGGCCTGCAGCTTCTACGACACGAGGTGACGAGGAGCGCAATAAGTCGAGAAGTGATAAAAAAGGTTGGATGATTGTGAATCATTAAAAGAGATATTTATAAGGTACCGTGCTGTGTTGCCCACGTAGTGTTCTATGATACAATGAAGAAAGGAAAAAGATCCAAAAGAAAATAAGAGCTTGGGACGCCTAATATACATGCTTCATGTTCAAATGGACTGCCATGCCACCACGGGACTTTGACAGTCAAATAGCCGTCGGGCATACTAACCACGGTAAAAGGTCCCAACCCTCCAGGAACAGCAAGGGGAAGGTACCAGGGCAGCAAAAGTGGTTGGGAGTGTACTTGTCTCTGAAGTATAACATGGCGCCGCCGCTGCGGCTAGTCCTGAAGGTCAAACCTTAAAACCCTGGAGACAACCCTCCTCCCACGCGCCCATCCCCGTAGTGCATAGTAAGAGTCATCGTAAAAGCTGCCGCGTTGGGTAGGCGCTACGGATGCTGCGCTTAGCCGCTGTGTAGTACCATACTATTCGCATCTTCCCAATCCAAGTAAATCCGCAGAGTTGGAAATACGTGACAAGTGAGTGTGCGAGATTTAGAATCAACTCTTGAAAAAATAGCATTCGCTATCTCCCGATCTTCGTAAAGCGCGGCGTATCATGTGGAAGCGCCATCGTCAAATCGTCCGTCATATCAACTGTATTCCTTCTATTATTCCCCATTTCGTCGTGCGTATCCTGACGAATACGTTTAAACCGAACCATCCAAAAACGCCCGATTTCCCAATTTGCTCTCGTAGGAGTTGCCTTAGCAGATCGGCGGCTCACACTTCAGAAGCTTGTTCGTCACTAGCTTGACCTCAGGACACCACTCCTCAATCAGTGTCATGTTCTCGGCCTGGAACTTCTCCGGTTGATGGTATCCAATTGGGAACTCGTAGTACAGAGTTTGAACCGCAAAGGTCTTGGCCACATCCTCGATAGGTAGGTTGGCTCCGCGCTCTCTCATTCGCATGAAGTACCATTGATCCTCGTATCTGTCCGTATCCGACGGCGCCTCTGGGTCCAACGGGTGCAGCGCAACATCCGTAGCAATAATATCAAGAATCAGCTGGCGATTGCGCAGCGAGAGACCTCCATTGTATCCCTGTCCATGCCACTTCTCTTCTTGAATCGGTGCGCCAACAAGATCGTAGTGCATGAAGTCGTCTACGCGTAAGTGCGCATTGCCGCAGATCATGGCATCGGCCTGGAAAAGAAGGACGTTCTTCGCTGGGGCGAGCTGCTCCCAGAACCAGGGCTGCGTCAAGAATTTCGTAACGTCGAAGTGTGTCTCGAACTTAAGACCCGCTGGGAGGGAACGGATTAAGATACGCTTCTCTTCAAGAGAGCGGCGAAGAGAGGAGGAGTTCTGGATGGATGGCATGGACGTGTAGAGGATGACGGGCCAGGCAGGGCCGAGGACGGCAGAGTAGTGGAGTATCAGGGGTATCAGGTTCTCGAGCGGGCGGTCTTCGATGATGACAGCGACTCTGTCGGACTCGAAGTAGGTGCCATTCGTGTATGGTCCAGGCGCGTCGGCGGCCAGGGACTTGGTCTCGCGTAATAAGTCCGCAATCTGAATCATAGGCATTGGCGGCAGGACGGGCTTCGGCGGCGGCGGTGGTGGTGGTGCTGCCGGTGCTGCAGGCGCTGGAGGAGCAGGAGGGGCCCTGTTTATGCCCGCGGACAGGAGCCAGACGAAGGCGAGAGTAACGAATGCGGCGAGGAGGCGAAAGCGTGCGTTGCCCATGAGGCCCGACCTGTCAACCCGCTCACAAAATTGGATGGCGCGAATGCGTGTTCGCTGGAGAAAGGGTAGACTGTCTACCTTCTCTCTCAGCACGCTATACTGCCCGCGCGCATCGTTGAAACTTGGTAGAACCATCGCTTTTTGTGATGGGTGAGGTTCCTATCCAAGCCAAGCAAGGGTGTCGGATACGTTGGTCGTTCGTGTCTGGTATGATCAAGGGTGCTTGATGGTCCGTAGCGACAGTGGGTGTTATCTATTATAACAGTATCATGAGCGAAGGGTATATAGTAAAAATATCATCGGATTGCAAATTCCTGAGATGAAAAGAAGGAGGCGGAATTTGCAGATTGCGGCGGCATGTCTCGACGATCTGGGCAAATTGTTACTCTCCTATCAAGGATGGGTACACCGCCTTGGCGCCTGGCTGGCAAAATTACCGTATCGAGGTCTAGAACCACATATTGAGATGCCAAGCAATTGAATTCTATCTTTAGAAATATCCAAGATGGCTATTAGGAGCATTTTCACTCATACGAAGTAGTAAATAGAGAATTGTTGTAAACTCGAAGACATGAAACTCATTATCCCTTATATCTCTCAGGAATCTTCAATATGCATTCATAACCACCTAATCCATCATCATGGTATCATCACCACCATTGCCTGGTCCCTCGGGTTCAATAGCCACGCCCCTTCCTCTGCCCTCCAGCAATTCCCTCCTCACCTCCGGCCCAATCGCCGAATGGCCCTTCGTTATTAAGAGATCTAGCAGAGCCTCACGTTGATCCTCCGTAATATCATTCCTATACCTCTGTGCAAATGACAACAAGCACTGATGCCAGATAACCGGCAACTTCACGACCTTATCCCCACCCGATCCTTGAATAGGATCGCTACGGAAACGAAGGAAGTGGAAAACCAACGCGTCGATAACCTGGAACGGCAGAGCATACTTCTTCTCGAGCAGTGTCTTGATGAAGATATTTGTTGCGCCACCGCCCTCCGTCCCTTGTGACGTCTCCTGCGCCGCGATGTCACAGAGCCCCTTCAACGCCGCCGCAGAGTGAAGCACGGGAATCGAAACTCGTGCGAGAACAGCGGAGATAATATGCGCCTCTCTTAAAGTGCACATTCCACCTCCCACCAAAGGAAAGAGGAATCCCTTGAACCACGCAGCCGGCTTGTACAGGCCCTTCTTGAGCGCTTTGAATAAATGAACATTGAGCTTATTGGTTTCCTGGATATCTTCGCGCACGCGCTCGAGGATGATGTGCTCCATGAAGATCTGGGCAACTTGGGGTGTGGAGGAGACGAAGATCTTGGCGGCTTCGTAGCAGGCGTTCGGTGTCCATTTGTCGGGGCGGGTGAGCTGGATAATCTCTTCCCAGTGAGGGACGCTAGGGAGGATCTTGAAGGGCTTTGGAAGTTTCCCAGATTTGTAGCGGGAAAGGAGGAAGCCGATCCTGAAAGCTGTTAGCAAAGTTGTGCCTGAGAATAAGTGCTTGGATAGGCTTACTTGGTGTACACGTCGACAACCTTAGGAGGTAATTCAAAGTCTTCATCTGGGACGGCGCCATTCATAAACTGCGCATCCCCACGTCCACCCTGTGACGCCTCATGTGCGGCAATCTTCTCCAGTATTAGATCAGCGAGATTAGTCGACTCCCCACCTTCGTCTTCATCTGCCTCGCCGCCCCAGCCTTGCCGCAATAACGGATCCTCCTGTGTAGGGAAGAATTTGCTGTAGGTTTCCAAATCCTCTGGGTCGAGTTCTATCTCTTCAACAATCTCATCCTCATCGCCCCAATCCTCAGCAACATCTTGCCCCGCATCGTCCGACAAATCTTCGTCCTCGAGCCTCGACTCAAAATCAAAGGCTGTATTCTTGGTCACGCCGCTTCCCTGCTCCTGTTCGTCTTCGGCCGCTAACTCCTGTCCAATTCTCAAAATCTTGCGCGACGCCTTTGCATCCACGAATTTCTCCCCACCATCCTCTTCGTGCCTCGATTTTCTCTTTGGCGCCTTGTTCTTGAGCGGACCGGTGGCTAGGAGGTCATTTTCGAGGGCATTATGCCGCCTGCCGGTTTGAGCAGGTCGAGACATGGTGAAATGCAGGTTGGGCTCGAGGAGACCGACTGGATTATAGCGTATGTGATCGTAGTTTCCAGTTCCGCAAAAAAAAGTTGCATCTTCTCATATCCGATAAGCTAGCGTGAATATCACGTGATTGGACATATCGACGCCAAACCAATTATTTCCAATCTTAATATAACAAAATACCAACTCGTCTCTGGTTATTATTTTTAAGGATGGAATAATTAGACTTTGTGTTTGTTTATTGTTGGCGATATTACTTTTTATAACAAATAACACAATATCTATCTCATAGTGGCATGATGACAAGTGCTTCGTGAGATATCGCCAACAGGATGAGACGCTCAACTTCTCCAACAGATTCAACAGTCTTTGATCTGAAGGCTTCGCAGTTCCATCACATTCTGACAAGTTGTCTATTGACTAGGTACTGCGGTCTTTAGGTCCCATCACCCTCCCCAAGCCAGCCGTGGAGTTCTGTCATTCTGTCGTTTTCAGCTCTCACAACTTCGGCTTTGAGTCCAAACTACACGGTTATAAGTATGAGACGGCTTTGGCATCGCTTCAAGTATAGTAATGGCCGCTTTCGGTCTTTCTTTGTGTTGATTTTATTGCGGGCGGGGTTGCTTTCAACTCCAGCCCGACGGTCCTTCCTTTGTCCTTTGGCCAGTTTTAGCTAGGCAAAGAAACCAAGCATGGGCTATTTCTCATCCCGAAACCCCAAACGTCTTTCCAATATTTTACTTTGGCTTCGAATTTTAAAGTTATACCTTCAGTTTACTACGCTACACGTTGCGTCTTGAAGATAGGACTTTTGCTGCGCAAATCTGGCTTCGAACATACGGCGTCCTTGTCACATTCTTCTATTCCAGTCATATCGTCGTGCCTTACGACTAAATACCCTTTGAAACGACGCGGGCAAGCCATGGCGACTGTAGAGGATCGATGGGTAGAATATAAGCACTTGGAGAAGAAAGACCTCTTGAGAATATGCGAGGGGTTAAACATCGACATCATATGGAAGGCTTGGAAAGACGATATCATTCGGACCATTATAGACGTGCAAGATAAACTCACGAACTACGATCGCACAATGAACGCAGCTGGAGCCATAACTGTGACACAGTTTGTTTCGGGATATGAAAGCCTGGAACTGCTGCCAACAACCAATCCCCGCAGTCAGAGGGCGGAGCGGTATGGGTTATTCATGAAGAACGACCTCATAAAACGATGCAGAGACCTGAAAGTTGTTATGGGCTGGAGATCAAGCAGAGACGACATCATAGAAGCTATATTGAACGCAGAAGACCAAGCAGGCGGCAGCATATACATAGTCGGACCAATGAGGTCTACGGCTCAGCCAACAAACTCCCCCGAAGACCAGCCTATGGACAGACAATACAAGTATTATAAAGAGAAAAGCAGAAACTTTCTCAAGCGTCGTTGCAAAGTATTCCGGATCTCCAGGTCGAAGAGAAGGTCCACTCCACAACTTGCCCGCAACATCATGGAAGTGGAAGGCAAAGCCTCTGGGATGCAAAAGAACAAACACATTTACATCCCTCAAGGCCCATACGCGCCCGTAATGCCGTCTACCAGCTTAATCCCGACGCAGCCAACCATACCAACTGCCTGGGCATCCATGGGAAATATTAGCTCCTGGCCAAACCCCCACCAGCATGCAAACCATGCAGACATCACCGTCATATACCCCAAGCCAACGCACAGCCTAATCGCAGGCAGCGGCCTCCCCATTGCCGCGACGACGCAGTTAAACCCCATCTACGCAAAGTACCGAGACCAAACACAGATGCCAATGGAGCTCTCGTATGAGCCCCTCTACCGCACGCCGCGCATGGACGAAGCCGCCGCGATATACAACGACATGTCCCTCACCCAGCTTCAGGACATCGTCAGAGCTCGCGGTTACACCCGCGGCATCGAACAGGATTGTGACACGAAATTAGAGTGCATTGATATCCTCCTCGACGACGACAGGAAGCAGGGTTTCCTCCCAACGGCCCCGGCTCCCGTCTATTCGTTGGAACCTGGGAAGCTAGAGGAAGCAAACCCTGATCCCAGTATCTTCATCCGCAGGCCGACGGTGATGCAAGTTGAAGTCTTGAGGATCCTGTTGACGTCTCGGCTGGAGCCAGAAGAATTCCAGTGGTCGAGAGAGGAGTTTTATGAGGACTTCACGCTGGCGGAGTTGGAGAAGGAGGTCTTTGCGAGGAGGGTCATGTATGTACCAACTGTGCGGAGACAGTTGGTGCGAAGTGATATGAGGATGTTTGAGAGGGTGAGACGGAAGAGGGCGGGTCTTCCTCCAAGGGGGAACGAGGTTCAACAGGCACAAGATGGCACAGTTACTGCAACCACGACTGCGACCGCGACCACACTGACAAGCCCACCAGTTGCTAAAACCACAACTGCGACTGAGACCACCGTGCCAAGCCCACCCACTGCGAAATCTGTGACGTGGGCGCCTGGTGTGGATGGTTCTGGATGATGTGAAGTTTGCCATCGCCCCCGAGAGACTGAGAGTTAGAGGGCCATAGTAAGATCAGGTGTTTCTTATTCTATTTGTGAGCTATAATTAGTTGGATGGAGTGGGATTTGGTATTTGGAGTATGCTTTGGTTGTTATAGGCATTGTTTGGATTTATTTGGAATAAACGCTCGTTATCAGGGTTAGCACAAATAGTCATAATAATCATGACTAAATATACATAAGCATGATTATTCATAATCATGTTGAGGGAAAGAGAATGGCGGTTTTTCCCACAATTGTCGGGCTCCCCAATTGGCGCTTGGTGTGAGCAGGTTGCCTCAGAACTCCGACGCATTGGGTTTCAGGCCCAAACCCTTCTGTTACCCAGGGCGTTTGGGTAGGCCCTCCAAATGACATAAATAATACGTAGGCTCCGTAGGTAGTGTAGTAATTCAATTTTAATCAATTTGTTCTATATACTGTAGTCTACTGTCGAGTTTTCCTGCCCGTTGCGCAAAAGCCCGAAGGTCCGGTCACCAAATACACTGCACGATTTGCGCGCGGTCGCAATATTTCGGTCCTTCGACCAACAAACCATGAATATTCATGATTTATCACATGATGTTAGAATCACGTGGCCTAAGTAATTATCTAGTATAGTAGAAAAGGAAACCAAATAACGTACATGTATAGCGAACCGGCCAAAATGATGCGGTGACAATAACCCCCAACTAAATGTTAAATTCCTCCACAACAAAACATGCTGCCAAAAAACGATGAAAGGCAATTACTGCTAGCTATCCAAGCTCTACAAAGCGACCCAAAGTTACGCCTTCGAGCTGTAGCTAGGACCTTTTCTGTGGACCACCGTAAGCTAGGTCGTCGATTACTAGGCATACCTTCACGACGCGATATCCAAGCCAACTCACGGAAATTGACAAATCTAGAGGAATCAGTCCTTGTTCAATACATACTCGACCTAGCTACAAAAGGATTTTCTCCTCAGTTGTCTATTGTTGAAGATATGGCAAATCGGCTACTTGCAACACGCGACGCGCCACGCGTCGGGTCGCGTTGGGCTTCAAACTTTGTTAAGCGGCGTGTAGAGCTCCGGACACGCTTCCAGCGCAAATACGACTACCAGAGGGCTAAGTGCGAGGACCCAGAAGTCATCCGTTGTTGGTTTGAGCTTCTACGCAACACAATTGCAAAATATGGCATCAATGAAGCAGATATCTACAACTTTGATGAGACTGGGTTTTGTTACGGCTATAGTAACATGATGTCATGGTTACAGGGCCAGGGCCTAGTAACGTGACGTGTGAGTCACATAACGTGACATGTGAGTCACAGTGGGAAGCGGGGTAGGCTGCCATGTGATGGGGCTAATGGATAGTTGCAGAAACTAGTGGATATTGGATAGTTGAGCTATCCACGAACTATCCTGAATATCTAGCTATCCGCCAACTATCCAGATTACCCATGAGGCACGACGCCACTATATAAGTAGATAGTATTTCCTTAGATAGGAGCTTCGTGCTCAACTCAATACAGTATTTGTTATATACTAGTAACGTGTTACTTGAAGCCTTTGTGTCTGATCCCCTGCCTCCTCTGATAAGTAAACCTTTACGCAAGAGAACCTCTGTGTCTTCTATTGTTTAGAAGTCAGCGTTACAGGTTTATGATGGGTGTTATCTCAACTGCTATGGTTGTGATAAGCTCAGACGGGCGTACAAAAGCAAAGAAGGTACAGCCTGGCAATCGGGAATGGGTTACAGTAATCCAAGGTGTTAGTTCTCAAGGTTGGGCAGTGCTGCCATTTGTCATTGTTGCAGGCAAAAACCACCTTGCATCTTGGTATGAGAACAGTGGATTTCCAAGCGATTGGGTAATTGCTGTTACAGAAAATGGCTGGACTACAAACGAGAGAGGCATGGATTGGATTCAGCATTTTGAGAAGCATACAAAGACCCGGAGTGTTGGTGGTTATCGCCTCTTAGTCCTTGATGGTCATGAGAGCCACCACTCAGATGAGTTTGAGGAATACTGCAAGGAACACAACATTATTACGCTTTGTATGCCTGCTCACTCTTCCCATATACTCCAGCCACTTGATGTTGGCTGTTTTGGCCCATTAAAGAAGGCTTACGGTCGGCAAATTGAAGATATGATGCGGGCTCATATTATTCACATTACTAAGGATGACTTCTTTCCTGCCTTCCACGCTGCATTTAACACTGCAATGACTGAAAGCAACATTCAGGGCGGGTTCCGAGGAGCAGGGCTTCTTCCATTCGACCCTGAGAGAGTGATATTTGTACTTGATCTTAAGTTAAAGACACCAACACCTCAAAGCTCCCGCCCGGGTACTGCTCAACCTTGGGTTTCCCAAACACCAAATAACCCAATTGAAGCCTGATCACAGTCTACCTTCATTAAAAACTGAATTGCGCATCATCAGAATAGCTCTCCAACCTCAATCTATGCAGCTGTCGACCAGTTTACAAAGGGTGCATCGCAAATAATGCATCAATTAGCATTGTTAAAGGCAGAGAACCAGAACCTCTGACAGGCAAATGACGTAATAAGCAAGCGCCGGAGGGCTAAAAAAACACGTCTACAGCAAGGAGGATCACTTACTCAATAGGATGCGCAGGGTCTACAGGATGAGAGGGATGTTGTGCAGCAAGTAGAGCAGGAAATAAGGGCGAGCAGTGGTCGCAAGCCAAGGGAAGAAATGCGTGCACGCCGCTGTGGGAAGTGTGGAGAGACTGGACACAATGCGTGCACTTGTCAGATTGTAATAGACATGTCTGAGGAAGAGGACTCCGAGTAGTTTCAATTGATTTCTAGTGTCATGGTGGATTTATCGTAATTTTTGTTGCGGGGGTAGATAATTTTGGCCGGTTCGCTTGTTTGGCTGGTTCGTTATACATGTACGTTATATATTAATCTATCTACATACTACTTAAAGTATTAATTTAGCTATAAATTCCTCTTCTAGATCCTCTTCTTCTTCCTTTATAAAATCCCAACTCTTTAAACAAGCTATTACTCTAAAAAACTCTTTAGAAAGCCTATTTCTAATCTTTGAAATAATAAGGCTACCTATACTAAAAGAGCTCTCTGTTACGATATCAAGTGCGCCTTGCAGCTCGAGTAGGGGTTCAGGGGTGTGGGGAGCTTTCCAGGGTTGGAGCGAAGTTTTCAGTTGTGGAGTGAATTCTCAGAACTGGTCTCGCTAAAGAGAATTCACTCCACAACAACATAGCTGTATACAGATCGAGCCACTGCTCGAGTGCTCCTCTTCTCTTTCCTTCCTTCTCTAGATTGAGTTTAATTCATAATACCCAACTGGCGCCCTATGCCTTGGTTGTCATGCTGACATTCGTTGCACTCAGTTTGCTATCAAACTCAAGAGCAAACTTGGAAATCTCCTCCTCAAACCTACAAGTCACTATACATATTTTGGCTTATCACACCAACAACAAGAGCAATACTACTCAACGATTGCTACAACCATCTATGATTTATTACACGTCATTGCTCCTTAGTTACTGGGCTGATATTACCACATAGCATATCTCTACAACCCTCTATGATTCATTACATGACATCACTCATACTACCACATGACATATCTCTACCAACTAGAGGCCTAGGAGCATGAACGATAGCTCTAAAAGCTCCTACGAACCTCTATGATTCATTACACGTCATCGCTCTTTAGTTACCCACAAGATTGGTTAAGTTATGACATAATTTGTCTATGACATAATTTGTCTATGACATAATTTGTCTATAGGGGTACTCTGACCTTGGACCTCCTTTTACTTCCTATTGGCTAGGAACCTAGAAGATGGTTCTATGGGATTCTCTTACATCGACTACAGTTACCAAGCCTGGTTAGTCATGGAAAGTCTTGGAAAATGAGAGAACTACACTCCTTTAGCATAAATAGGATTCCCCTTTCCTTAAGAAAGGGCAAGCAGACAATACAGTAAATCGACTATCACATACTTCCACGTCTTTTCCAAGCTTCCAAGCATTGATCTTGTTACTCCTTGTTTCTGAAAAGTCAGTGAGGTGCTAACCTCTGACTTATCCCTGAGTTCTCAGACTCAACATTTGTTACAACTTGTCTAAACCACTCCACTATATCATACACCTGATTGCTGCATTGTGGAATAGTCTAAGCTACGACCCTGTGGCTCTTTTTATAAGACAGTGTGTTGTCTTAGTAAAATCATCCCTTCCTTGGGTGGCTAGATTCTCACATCTGGTGCACCCACCATTACATTGGTGAACCGTGACACTCTCTATAGGAGCACTAGTACCAGGGATTTGTAAATAGCGCCTAGCTATAGTAGCTAGAATTGGAAATCAAGATTGATTGATTTTCTAATAGTCTAAAGGATTAATCTATATAATTAAATAAGATAAAGTTAACTTACCTACAACTAGGTTGTGTACACTTAATAGTAAGTGTTCATTCTTCATTTTTAATAATAGGATTTAACTCTCTACTAAAGAGTCCTTCCTTAAAAATATAAGGAAGGTTATCTAAAGGAATAGTATATCTAGGGCTATTATATTGATCTTTAGAAGAAGACATAGTTATAGTAAAGATAGTATAAAGTGTTGTTATTGTTGTTTTTGTTTTAATAGAAAAGTTAGTTAAGGAGGGAGTTAAAGGCTCTATATATATCTATATAACGTGGTTGTACACCGAGTCGTGAATGTCACCGAGTCGTGAACTTTTCCCTACTTAGCTACCTACGAACTTCAACACGCGTTTCCTCCACAACTACCAATGGAAATCCAAACCCAAGAAGCGCGAATCATTCTAGCTATTGAGGCTCTTCAAACATGTAAATCGCTTAATCGCAGGTCTGCATCAATACTATATAAAGTGCCTTATTCTACGCTTACTGATAGAATGGCCGTGTTACGACGGAACAAGAAGGCTGGCCAACTACAGGACAGGAAGGAGGGAGGTCGCATGAGACCGGCCCT